GTGGCTAGTTCCCAGTTGTAAAGCCCTTCTCTTTGGGAAACTCAGTGAAAATGTAAGGAAATGACAACACGCACCACTACTCCAATTCAAACAAGTCACACATAAACACACACACACACAGAAAATTTCATGCATCTCTTTCAACTCTCTAAACCTAAGTTGATCCAAATCCCACACTTCTGTAGCATGAAAACTTTTATTTTTCAAGTGGTGTTTAATTATTTCAGCATTAATTTCCTTGTGTCTTTACATCATTTTTTAATTTCATTTAAAACATGACACAGGCTGGGTGTTGTTGGAAGTTCAAAGGGAAAACACATTCTTTCTGCCGGAAAGTGTCACATTTCACTGAAAGATTAAGAACCTTGTGAATATCAAGAATTGAAGCTGCTGCGGGTGCAATCATTCCAAGGTCCCAAGATAGCCCTGAGGTCTAAATAGAAAAGTGTCTTTTATAAGCTGTAACAAAATGCTCACCTCAAAAAAAACCACTCAGAAATCTGCACAGTTCTGTTCATATTCAACAGCTTGAGAGCATCCAGAAGCTTCCTGGATCTTTATACAAGACAAAGCTCTACATTCAGAAAACAGCTTCTACCATGGTAATGGGTGGGCGCGAGGCCCCGTGCCCAGGTCTGCCCTCTCCGCACCCTGCAAAGCCACCTGTGTGAGAAGCACTGGCCTGTGCACACCAGGCAGCGCCGCCACACAGCTACATTAGAACATGAAAACGCCAGTCAGATCGGCTGCGCTCCTGGAAATGGGACCCAGGACTCTTAACTCCTTAGGGAACTCCAAGACTCCTCAGTTACCAGAGAGAGGTCTTTGTGGGGTACAGTGTCCTCTATGGAGTCTTCTCAAAGGTGGATCTAATCCCCGCAAACTGCCTCGGGGGCTGTCTGGACGCGACAGGAGGTGCGGCCTCCCTGGAGTTGATTTCTGTGGGGCAGAGGGAAAAGTGTGCCTTCAGCACCAACTTCTGCCGAGTCGCTGGAGAAGGGGTTAACTCCGCGGGCGCCAGCGGCGCACGCCTGTAACCCTGGATACTCCTGGCTGCTGACATCAGAAGACCATGGTTCGAAGCTGGCCTGGACAAGAAAGTCCATGAGATTCTTATCTCCAATTAACCAGCTAAAAGCTGGAGGTGAAGATGTGGCTCAAGTGGTGTCAAGTTAAAAAAAAAAAAAAAAAAGCCAAGTAAGAGCAGGAGGCCTTGGATTCCAGCTCCAATACCGGCTGTAAAATCCAACCTTCTTTAAAAACCCAGAACTCCTTCGGAGTAGTTTTTTAGCTGCTCATTTCACGTGTTAGTGAAGAACTGTGAATGAAGGGCACAGAAATCCGAGCTGGCTGGCGCCGTCCAGATGCACGGAGCACTGGAGAAGGTGCACATGGGAGCTGGGGCGGAGTCTAGCCTTGTTCAAGTCCTTGGTGCCCAGCAGCCCGCTGCTCCGGGCGGCGGCTCGGCTGGCCCAGGCCGGAACCTGGGCTGTGCCGTCTCCCGAGACCCGTCACCGAGCAGCGCTCGCCCTTCACTCTCAGCGGCCGGCGGTGCTCGGCAGGGTGAACAGCGCCAAGGAGGGCAGTGCGGCCTGGCAGAGGGAACCCAGGCAGTGGCCCACCTTGGACACCGTGCCAGCTTGTCCAAAACACTGGAGAAGGTAAAGTGCTTTCTTGTGGGAGAGCGAGACTGCAGCCGTGCACGCAGGGCCCGGCGCAGACAAGACAGTGGGCCACGGAGCACACTGAGGTCGGGGGAAACTGGAGACACGGAGTCACCTTACTTCCTGGGAGGTGATGGGGGGAGGGTGCTCTGCCTGCAGGTGGCCACGGGCAGCTCCCGGCAGGCCTGTGTGGGGTGCCCCTTCTCCCCATGGGCGAGGCCTCTTCGTGGGCACCCGGGACTGCCCACGCCTCCTCATCAGCAGAGGACAGCGAGCCCCCCGGCCCTCACTCAGCCCCCAGAAGCCCAGTCCCAGCGCAGCAATGGCAGAGACCACCGAACACAGTCCCTCAGCACCCACAAAGTCCCGCTGTCCACCCGGCATCTTGAGCGCCCTTTACCTTAGAGCACAGATGGAACCCCGACTCAGGAGCGCCCGAGACGGGGAGCTGGGCTGCGCTGGGCCGCGCCGTCGGCGGGTTGAGAAGTCCCAGGTCCACCGTGGGCCTGTGCGTGTGCCACCGGATGCGCCCTTCACCCGCGTGAGGAGGGACAGCGCGCGCTGCACGCGGGCCTTCGGAGTCCGCAGGAGTCACGGCCAGTCACGTGGAAGGGCAGGGCCGGGCTCCATCCCCAAGGCCGTGGCACTGAGGCAAGCCCCGCCCCCAGCGTTGTCTTGGAAATACTGCCCAGCATGTCATAATTTACACACATGCTAAGAACGTGTTAAGATCTGCCTCCACCTCACCTCGAGCTGTATGGATAGAGAAATCCCTGAGAAGTACCGTCAGCGCGAACGCCGCTCTGCAGAGAATGGACACGGTGTGCCAGCACGGGTGTGCCGGCACAGGGACAGCTGTGGATACCCAGATGGGGGGAGGGGGGAGTCGCAAAGACCAGCAAGACAAGGGAAGCTCTCCCAACCCTGTGAGGAGCTGTAGGTCCCAAAGCAGTGCAGTCACCCAGGAACTCTAGAAAAATCCTTCGGTGCATGTCCCCAGACCATTGCGTTGACAACAGCCGTGGAGTTGTGTGCATGCTGCCAGCAGTGCCAGGAACAGCCATCGCTGGGACCAAGGCTCAGAGCCCGTTCGGCACTGCCTGGCTGGCTGACAAGCCACGGGAGCGGGGTTTGTGGCAGGAAGACGCACAATGCCAGGGGACACAGGAAAGACAACCAGTCACAGCCCTCGTCTCCTCCGCGGGCACACAGCCAACTCCCACCGGGCATTCTAAGATGGATCCAGAACTCAGGGCATCACCCTGGCACCTTTCTGAGAGTGAGTGGGGAGAAGCTCCCTCACACTTGAACCACCACGCTCTCTTCGTGCCAGGGAGCAGCCTGGTGCCCAGTGGGGGGGGGGGCAAGAAACGGGGTGAGGAATCCTTGACTGCTCCACGCCCAGTGGTACCGAGCAGAAAAGAAGGAAAAGGAAGCCACGCTGCCCCCACCCCACGTCCTGAGATGAACCCTGCGCCTCACATGGACCCTGGGCTGCGGTCAACAGCTTCAAATCCATGGCTTCCAAGTGCTTTGAAGTTAAATCTTTCGGTAAAGTGCATATGTGACAGACAAGGCAAGACCTAGTGAGAATGGCTCAGCGCCGCAGGGGCAGGAGCAGAAATCTCCCACCGAGCGAGACTGGCGCCGGGGTCCTATCAAAGGCCTGTGCATTGCACATTCTGTACAGTTAGGCTGAGGAGGAGCTGAACATGGAGGCAGTCACCCAAGGGAAAATTAAAATCCACACAAGGAAATCTTTGGATTTGAGTCTGGAGGAGAGGGCCACAGTGAGGGGCAGACCACCCCAAGCGCATCTGCCTGAAACAAGTCTGCCTAAAAGCCAGTGCCAATCTCTGTCTGTCTGTCTGTCTCACACACAGCCTAACACAGCAGTGTGCAGTATTTCTACTTCCTTGTCCCTTTGCTATCCAGGATGGATTTATCTACGAGCACACGTGTTTTTAATTCTGTATTTCCACTAGCCATTTCTTAAATTTAGCCCATTTTATGGTTTTTTTTCTCATACCTAAGTTTAGTATGTGGAAGCTTTTCTACTCAGTGTACCTGTAGTTCCTTGCTTTAAATGGTTTTAGTTCTAGCAATAAATGTTTATGCACTGTTTCATAATAATTTGACAACTTTTTCATTATTATTACTTCAGTGACAATAGTGTTTCAAAAAACTAAAGACATAGCTGGGCATGGTGGCTCATGCTTATAATTCCAGCTACTTGGGAGGTAGAGAGTAGGAGAATAAAGTTCAAGATCTCAGTTTTTTTGGGAGGAATACGTAGGTGACCATCACCACCCCAGGCAAAAGTGAGCCCCTATCTGAAAAATAACTAAAGCACACAGGGCTTGGGGGTGTGTCTCCAGTGATCAAGCCCATCAGGTGCTGAGTTCAAATCCTATTACTGCTAAAAAAATAAAAATTAGGTACAATCACATCTGATTCCTCTACTTGATTATTTTACAATAGAAAAGTCACTGTCCGGGCTGGGAAGGTGGCTCAGTGGTAGAGTGCTTGCCTTGCATGCTTGAGGCCCTGGGTTCGATTCCTCAGCACCACATAAGCAGAAAAAAAAAGCCGGAAGTGGCACTGTGGCTCAAGGGGTAGAGTGCTAGCCTTGAGCTGAAGAGCTGAGGGACAGTGCCCAGGCCCAGAGTTCAGGCCCCATGACCGGACCCCCCCCAAAAAAGTAAAGTCACTGTCTTCACAAACTGGAAACAAATATTCCATATCTTGTAATCAAATTAACATTAAAACCCATTGTCTATGTGCAGTAACACAGGCGCACAGCCACGGTGGGAGAACTCGGGAATCCTGAGCAGTTCCTCAAAAGATGACCAACATTCACTGCAGAAGCAGGAGAGAGAGGGAGGGAGAGAGAGTGTGTGTGTGTGTGTGCTTTCAACTTTTTGGTAGCTAATGGGAGATCGGAGTCTCAAGGGCTGCTCTGGCTGGCTTTGAACCTCCAGATCCCCAGATCTCAGCCTCCTGAACAGCCAGGATGACAGGCGTGCGCCCCGGTGTCCGGCCAGCAGCATAGCTTAAGCCGGGGCCTTCGCACACGCGGAGTAAAGTCGTCCTACACGCAATGGCCACAAACACAAAACTGGGCCCAAAGTGCCTGTGACACGCGGGTCTTTCTCGAGTTCTCTAAAGGAGCCTTGTAGGCCATTTCCCCGGAGGCTGCGCGGGCTGCTGCGGGCACTTAGTACCTTTCAGGCAAGGAAAAGCTGTGCTATTCCCAATCCCCTCCAGGGAGCAGCCTGAGCACCCCGTTTCCGGCGCAGCCTCGGGGTGCGGGACCCCCCCCCCCCCAGCCCCACTTCACGTCCTTTTCCGCCAGCGCGGCGCACGCCGCTCCCTCTGCGCCGCGGCCTGGCGCTGCCGCTCGGCCTCCTCGGCGCGGCGCCGCTCCTCCTTGGCCTCCTTGTAGCGCCACTTGGGGATCTGCAGGTGGGCGCTGTCCTTGGTGCCGGCCGCGCGCTCGGGCTGGAAGGTGGGCGCGGGCGCCTTGCTGACGCGGACGCGGGGCACCACCACGCCGGGCCGCACGCTGCCCCGCCGCAGCCGCTGCAGGGGCCGCAGGCCGGGCTTCCTGGGGGCGGCCGCGGGGGCCGGGAGCGGCGGCGCAGGCGCACAGCCCGCGCCCGCGCCCGCCGCCTCCCCCGCCGCCTCCCCCGCCGCCTCCCGGGCGGCCAGGATCTCCGGCACGGCCCGCCGCCTCTTCCCCACGCGCGGGGGGCTGTCGGGGCACACGGTCTGGCAGGCGATGGCCACGGCGGGGCTGCGCAGGCCGGTGGTCATCCGCACCATGTGGTCCAGCGCGCCGCCGTCCTCGGGGCCCCGCGGGCGCGCGGCCAGCGCCGAGCGCAGGAAGCGGCGCAGCCGCTCCAGGCACGTCTTGGAGGCCGCCTGCTTCGCCGCGGCCTCGGCGGCCGGCGGCCACTCGGGCCGGTACCTGTCCCCGAGCTGCTCCGGGCAGGGCCTCTCCAGCAGCCTCTGCATGAGGCGGGCGGCCTCGGCGCGGCCCGTGAACGCGGCCCACTCCTGCGGCGACAGGCCCCGCCGGGGGTCCCGCGCGTCCACGTCCGCCCCTGCAAGACAGAAAACGCGCGGCTGCGGCCCAGCAGGCTCGGCCCTGGGCCTGGAAACCCAGGAGGAGGCTGAGATCTGAGGGCCGCGGTTCAAAGCCAGCCCAGGCAGCAAAGTCCCAGAGACTCCATCTCCAGTGGAAGAGCACTAGCCTTGAGCAAGTGCTCAGGGGCAGCACCGCGTCCCGAGTTCAAGCCCCAGGCCCGCACACCCAGACACCCCCTCCCCCCCCCCCCCCCCACACACGCACACACAACCCTGTCTGAGCTCGGCACCTCAGCCAGCTTTGTTTTCTTTTTAATAGGACTCCGAGGCTTTGGGAACCACAGCGTCATCCCGGGTTCACACGACAACATTCTGAAAATGTAACCACAATCACCACGCGGTGTCATCTTGTCACCTGGCCGGAGGTGACCTGCTTGGTGGGAAGGAGGCCCTTCGTGCCTCCCTGCTGCAGGCAGACTGCCTTTGCCAGCCAGGAGCTACTGCCTGACAGACGGAGGCCATGCCGGGCCCAAGGCCGGCCCCCCAGGCCCCCACTTCAGATCCTGAAGAACGAGAGGCAGGCATTTCCATCCCACAGCAAAGGCAGTCACCGTGGGGTGGGGCTGCCTGAGGCTGTGGATCTGGGCCCACAGGCAGGGCTCTGACTCAGTCTCCCTCACTCAGCGCAGGGCAGGCGGAGGGTGAGTTAGCAGCGTCTGGGTGGCTAGGACAGAGTACCCAGGGGTTTAGTCAGACTGTCAGGTGCTGATCTGCAGGGATTTCTCACCAAGCGGATGGGCCTCCTCCCATCAGCTGAAGGTCTTCAGGGCGAAGACTAAGGTTTCCCGGAGAACACATTCCTCAAAGCTACAGCAGAAATCCTGTCCTCAGGCCTTTCCTACAGATTCTGCACTTAAACTGCAACAGCTGAACCCTGAAGATTTATAGCAGCTCTGCTTCTCTGAGAGACTTTTCCAAGTCAGGCTTTACTTTGACTTCGTGAAATCTGCCGCTCTCTCAAGGTGCTAACATAGCAATGAATACAGACTTGAGACACGGTTTATCTTGGTCCAATCCCAGGTCCACAGAGAGTTAAAAAAAATTGTTCAAGTTTCACATCCCGGGGCTGGGAAGGTGGCTCAGTGGTAGAGTGCTTGCCTGGCATGCATGAGGCCCTGGGTTCGATTCAGCACCACATAAACACAAAAGGCCAGAAGTAGCACTATGGCTTAAGCGGTAGAGTGCTGGCCTTGAGCTGAAGAGCTCAGGGACAGCACCCAGGCCTAGAGTTCAAGCCCCTTGACAAAAAAAAAAAAAAGAAAAGGAAAATAGATTTCAAATCCCATTAGCTATACCTCCACCAGCAAAGCCAAGTGGAGAACAAGGGCTGGGAGCACCATGGAGGCTTAAGGCCCAGCTCTGCACAGAGCTCCACACAGACAAGGGGGTCTAATGGGCAGTGCTGAGAGCTCAGGGCTCAGCCGTCTTCAGACCATGGCGACCATCCACCCGCAGCTGCCTCATGGAGCCACGAACTCAGCTCACATGAGCCACCTGCTCGTCCTCTTAATTCCGTAATATATGAAGGAACAGAGGTAATTATCTGGAACTGGAAATCAGGAGGCACTCATGAGCGCCAGTCCAATTTATAAATGTAGAAGGCAGTAAAGAAAATGTCATTGCAAAACACAGATGACACATTAAACCTTAATTAATTGCGCGTCACTTTTAAAAAAAGGACAAACTACAGAATTAAAACCTTGATGAACACAGCACGAAAGAGACATTTTTCAAATGTTAATGGAAAACAAAAGGAACAGCCGTGCACAGCTCAACCCTTCCTCCTCCAAGACAATCTCCCAGGACACAAGCACGCAATGGAGGAGAGCCACGGCCGCTCTGACTCCAGGACTCAGGGAAAGCTAGAAAGACAACAAGTAACTGGGAAAAAATAGTTACCAGCAGTATATCAGACAAGGGGTTAATACCCAGTATAGACAGAGAACTCAAGAAACGAATCCCTCCCAAGCCTAACAAACCAATCACTAAATGGGCAAGGGAACTAAAGAGAGACTTCTCAGAAGAAGATATAAAAATGGCAAAGAAACACATGAGGAAATGTTCGCCATCCCTGGTTGTGAAAGAAATGCAAATAAAGACAACCCTGAGATACCACCTTACCCCAGTCAGAACGGCCCACATCCTCAAGTCAGCCAACGACAAATGATGGAGGGGATGCGGAGAAAGAGGAACCCTATTACACTGCTGGTGGGAATGTACACTTATACAACCACTTTGGAAAGCAGTTTGGAGGGGCCTCAGAAAGCTAAATATTGACCTCCCTTATGACCCAGCCATACCACTTCTAGGCATCTATCCTGAACAACAGGAACCAAGATACAAGGACACGTGCACCTCCATGTTTATTGCAGCACTGTTCACAATAGCCAGGATATGGAAACAACCCAGATGTCTCCCACAGATGAATGGATCCAAAAATTGTGGTACCTATACATAATGGAATATTATGCAGCCATTAGAAAGGACAAAATGATGGCATTTGCAGGGAAATGGATGGAGCTAGAAGAAATCATGTTGAGTGAAGTAAGCCAAGAACAAAGAGACAAATGGCACGTGGTCTCCCTGATAAGTGGATGTTAAATCCAAAATGTAAGGTGATATGACAAAATTAACAAGCTTAAGAAACAAAGGACTTCCACTCATCTGGTCGAATCACTACTAAATAATCCCATGCTGATCACATACATGGTATATATGTGCACACCGGAGGGAAACCAGGAGGACGACACAGAACTAGAGGGAATCAGAGAAAAATATACACCAGCGGGACCCATCAGCTGCACTGGACATTGACCAAAATGAACTAAGAACTCAATGGCAGCGATGGGAGGGAGGGAATGAGTGGGAAAGAGGAAACAGCTGATGCTATGCAAAACACAAGAAATGTACATATCACCCAGTGTGGAAGAAATAACTATCGCACAGCTCATAGAACTCATAAATGTTATAGACTGTGATAGACAATTTGCTCCATGAAAGTTAGAATGTGTTTGTGACTTTAACTGAGCATCACTATACTGTGAAATTTGGGAAATTATGTAATCACTTAATCACAAAGAGTTTGGGGGGGGGGAAAGGGAAATGTACTCATTACCTGACTTATGTAACTGTAACTCCTCTATACAGCACCTTTACAATATTTTTTAAAGACACTCAGTGAAGGGGACACTGATGGCACATGCACCCCACGAATGACAAGGCCCAGCTGTCCCCCAATTTTCACTTGTCCCTCCCACAAAATGGCACAGTACTTGCCTATGATCCATGCTCAGCTCCCATCTGTGTTACATTGCTATTGTTGCATTATTTACAATACAAATTGTTATTATGCTGTAATGTTGAGGGACTAATGTAAGAAAGGAGTCTGTAGGTATTCGGTATAGATGCATTGTATAAAAAAACAAAAACGACCAACCCAGATGCCCCTCAGTAGATGAATGGATCAAGAAAATGTGGTATATATACACAATGGAATTCTATGCCTCCATCAGAAAGAATGACATTGCCCCATTTGTTAGGAAATGGAAAAACTTGGAAAAAATTATATTAAGTGAAATAAGCCAGGCCCAAAGAAACGTAGGTCCCATGGTTTCCCTTATTTGTAATATCTAGTATATGTATGAGTCAAGCGGAAAAGGTCAGATAATGTGATGTCAGGAAAATGAACCCTTAGATGTGTATTTTAATGTTTTTTTCTTTCATGCATGTGTTTCTAACACATTTATAAGATTATCTCTTTGTTGCTTTGTATGTCCCTCCCCCACAGTATAACCCCTGCTTTCACTATATTTGATGTCAGTATAACTTGTGGAGGAGATGGGGAAAAACCAGTTGTTTAAGGATACAGGTGGACCTGTTGCAACAATGAGAAGTACAAGTTGTCATGTCCAAAACGAACTTTACAACGTTGGTGCGGGGGGGGGGGGGGGGGGGCTGGGGGGGGGGGCGGAAGGAGAAGGATTGGGATTAGGGGGGGAGGGGGGAGGCTGGGAAGGGATGTGAAGGGTAAACAAAGGAGGAGGCTGCAATGCTTGGTAAGAAATGTACACATTATCCTGCCCATGTAACTGTAACTCCTCTGTACACTATGTTCACAAATAAAATTAAATTAAATTTAAAAAAAAAAAAAAAAACGTGGAGCTATGGCTCAAGTGGTAGAGTGCTAGCCTTGAGCAAAAAACTCAGGGACAGGGCTGGGAAGGTAGCTCAGTGGTAGAGTGCTTGCCTTGCATGCATGAGGCCCTGGGTTTGATTCCCCAGCACCGCATAAGCAAAGAAAAAAGTAAGCTCAAAAAACTCAGGGACAGCCAGGCAGAGGTGGCTCACGCCTGTAATCCTATCTACTCAGGAGGCTGAGATCTGAGGATCATGGTTCAAAGCCAGCCCAGGCAGGAAAGTCCGTGAGGCTCTTATCCCCAATAAACCACTAGAAAACGGGAAGTAGCTCAAGTGGTAGAGGACTCGCCTTGAGCTGAGGGTCAGCATCCAGGCCCAGAGTTCAAGCCCCATGACCGACCACCCCCCCCCCAAAAAAAAAAAACCACCTTAGGGACAGTGCCCAGACCCTGAGTTACAGCCCCAGGATCAGCATGCATGCGTGTGCACACACCCACGCCTACGTGTATACACACAAGTACACTCGCAAGACCTTCTACGTGTGGACGGTACAGAACCAGGACACAGAAATGCCTGTACTGGTTGATACCGCATCACAGGAACTCCTCAGCGCACGGAGCGCTGAAATGCCACAACGTCCACCGGCGCCCGGAGACCACGCGCGTCCTCACCTCCCACCCAATATGGTTTCATCCACAGCTCAAGCTTGCGCTCTGGCCACGGTGCACAGGCTGCCATGGTGAGCGTGCTGCGTGTTAGGCACAAAACCTCCTATTTTGTTCCAGGCAGCAGCACACGCGGCCCAAGGCTGGCCAGCATG